AGGTAAAACAAGAGAGCCCTCTTGACATCCAGTGTATGCAGTAATCTATCCTCATCAGATATTGGATTTGGAAAGAAAGTTGGCAAGAAGACTTCAGCTTGCAGATGGAATTCAGAAATTACCTTAGGTAAGAACGAAATGTCAGGAAGTATGGAGAGGTAAGGAGCGTCGTGCCTGAACGCTAAGAGCTCTCCAACTCTCCTGGCCGATGTGATTGCAACCAAAAACGCCATCTTCCATGTCAGGAGACGCAGCTCGCATGTGGCCAGAGGTTCAAACGGCTTCCGTGTAAGTTGACGGAGGACCAGGGGAAGGTCCCAAGGGACCGGTGGAGACTTAACTGGGGGATAGAGACGAAGCAAACCCTTCAGAAAGCGCTTGGTAACTGGATGGGTGAACAAAGAGTAACCATCAACTGGAACATGAAAGGCTGACAAGGCAGCCAGATAAACGCGTAACGAGGAGTGGGAGAGCCCCGAGTCAGCAAGGGATAAAAGAAACGAAAAAACTTTTTCCAGACCCGCCTTTGTAGCAAGGGAGGCATCAGCCCCGAAAAAGACACAGAATTTAGTCCATTTCTGGGCGTAAGACCTGCGCGTGGACTGTTTCCTTGAATTCAGGAGGACATGCTCTATGCGAGCAGAGAATCCTCTGGAAGTACTCGCCACGCCGTGAGCTTCAGAGTTTTCACATCGTGGTGAAGTAGTGGGGAGTCGTGGAGGTGTAGTAGGTCTGGAACGGGAGGGAAGTGGTAAAACGTTTTCTGAGACAGGTCGAGAAGGGTGGAAAACCAGGGTTGCCTGGGCCACCAGGGCGTTATCAGTATTACGTGTGCATTGTCCCTGAGGATCTTGCGCACCACCCGGAGTAGCAGTGGTAGTGGGGAAAACATGTACAGGTGTTTCCGTGACCATGGATACAGGAGACCGTCTCCTAATGACTGGGCGTCGTACCCTCCTTGGCTGCAACATAGACATTTCCTGTTGTGGCTTGTGGCGAAAACGTCGACGTGGGGAGTGCCCCACAGTTGGAAAATTGGGAGCAGGTAACGCTGTTTTATTCCCCATTCGTGAAGGCTCAGGCCCGAGCGGCTGAGATGGTCTGCCTCCAGATTTAACTCGCCAGGTATGTGAGTTGCCACCAGGAAAATTTCGTTGGCCGTGCAGAAATCCCAGAGATGTAATGCTAGTTTGCATAGACGTTTGGAAACCATTTCCCCCTTGGCGGTTTATGTATGACATTGCCGTAGTATTGTCCGTCAGAATATTGACGCACTTTCTCCTGAGCAGAG